CGTGGAAATCTTCAGTTTATATGTACTCATGTCAGAACTCGGATTCCAGATGGACATTTCCAATAAGTCATCTATTTATGTGCCTTAAAATACTGTTCTGATCTCTTCTTCCTTCTCCCAGAAAATGAATTATTTATAATTCTTTTCATAAAAGAGATAATCAGCTAAAGAGCTTTCTTAAAGGTGGCAAAACTAAAAAGCAAATTAGTTTTATGATTTCAAAAAATTAGCTGACTATTCATTTATTATAATGTTTGCAGGCTACTTTAGAACTCTCAAAGGAAGAATAATAGTCCAGTATAGTCTATAAGGTTTCCTTTATGGACAGAGTAAGCCATTTGATCTTGACAGACTCAACTGGTTTTGATTTTCTGCCATGGATATCCATCAAAGAAATAGTAGTTGTGATTAATAGCATTTTGTCCACTAACCAAAAGCACTTATAATGTATACCTGGAGAATATTCCAAAATGGAGGATAACATTACAGTTTTAAAAAAGTTCAACAACCAAAAAAATCAATATTGGTTGGGAAAAAAAAGCTTTTATGAAGGTACTTTTAAGACATATGGAAAAGAACTTTTTAGATTTTTCATTAATTTTAAGGAAAAAGTAGAAGGAAAAAACCTTCAAGAGAATTGATAGGAAATACTTTTCCCCTATTTTAAAATGAAAATCATAGGTAATTAATTACTTATCAGTGTATAAAGATTCTCTGAAATTAAACAGAGCATTGTAGATTTTTTTATTAGCTAAAAAGAACCTCTCACTGCCATTTATTTCCTATCACCAAGCTAGAAATTCTAGAATGGTGATGGCAGCAAAGCGGTTGGAGTACAACAGACTTAGAAAAACGGTAGTATCCAAAAATTGACTCTATGTTTTCATCCTTACATGGAGTCACATTCCCTCCCACCATATAGAGACCCATGAGATAGAAGCAAACCCGAGAATAGAAGAGATGTGCTAACATGCTCCGAAAGCAGACTTGCAAACAGACTAGCTTTGGGGAGTACTCTTGCAAAAATTATCGGCCTTGAAAAATTTGCCAGATGGATATATGTAGGAAAGGCTAAACAAAATGGAAATATCATTGTATAGAGCGTATGTTCACTCATTAATTCATTCAATTATGCATTTATTTATTCAATCAACAAATATGGTATTGTGTTTCAATAACTAGAAAGGCATTGGGCTTAAGCACTAAGAAATGACTTCTATTCTCATAGAGGAGAAGAGAATTCACATTTGTTGAAGGCAAACTACGACCTGGTGTGTCACATGACTTATATCAACAGTATGAAGCAGCCATTTTTATCATTCCTCCTTTTCTATCGGAGGAAGCTGAGCGTCACGGTTAAATAGGTTGTTCGAGGTCATGCAGATAGTAAGTGGCAAAGTTGGACTGCCATACTCGCTTTGTTTCTGAAGTCCACTACACCACGATGCCTGTAATCTGGTGGGGAAGATGGAAACACACGCAAAGGCCCACAGCATGGATCAGAGACTGAAACACACCATGCGAGATGTATATGACTTGCTATAGGAGCACGCAGGGGGACGTGGCTCATTCTGCTAGTCTCTAGATCACCTCCTGGCAGAGAGGCTGGCACCTGAGCTGGGTCTTGGAGGTGAATGGGGAAGAGCATGTTAGGTGGAGACACAAAGTGCATTGCAGGTTGAAGAAACAGCTCACAGGGCTGCAAACAGCGTTTCTCACATGCATTTTGTTTATACTACAGTTCTGAATTCTAGGTTATCTGGCAGCATACCCGAATAGTGCCATGGCCAGCAATGATCATCATACAAATGAGCTTCATGGGCTTAGAGTTAGGATATAGGCTTTGAGTCTTGGCCCTGCCAGTTACCACTCGTGGGAACTAGATCATTTACGCCTTGTTTGATTAAATGGGGATAATCATCACAAGGCTATTTTAAGGAGAACAGGAGTTGACGCATGTACACCGCTCAGCTTAGTTTATAGCACATGGCATATACTCACTAAAGTGGCTATTATGGATACTACATCACTTGCTTTTTGCACCAGGGCACTGTCTGAACAGCACTGCACTATGCTGCACTAACTAAGCTCTTCCACGTACTCACAAGGCATAGCTTCAGTAACATTCTTTTTTTCTGGGGCGCCCGGGTGGCTTAGTCGGTGAAGCGTCCGACTTTCACTTAGGTCATGATCTCACGGTTCGTGGGTTCGAACTCCACGTCAGGCTCTGTGCTGACAGCTCAGAGCCTGGAGCCTGTTTCCAATTCTGTGTCTCCCTCTCTCTCTGACCCTCCCCTGCTCATGCTGTCTCTCTCTCTCTCCTAGAAATAAATAAAACATTAAAAAAAAACAACATTCTTTTTCTTTCCTGCTGGCTTGCTGTTTTCTTGGGCTTCTTCTACTCTCAACAAATAGAATCTTCTTTACTGCATTGCAGACCTACTTGAGCTGATGTACAATTTGGCAGATATCACAGATTAATCTATTTAGGTTCAGCAAAAATTATTTTACCCATTTTCCACTTTGCTAGCACATACGGGGGGCTACAGAGTGTGCCCTAGCCTAGTGGTTGTGAACCATTTATACAGATTGTATACACTGCGGGCGGGGGAGGGCTATGGGAGGAGGAGGAGGAGTGGTAGGAGAAGTCGGTTAGGTTACGGTCAGATTGAAAAGGAACTTAAATAAGGATTTGATCTTCATCCTGCGGACATGGAGAGCCAAGGGAAAAAAAAAAAAAGGAAGAAGGTGGATGGACGGAGTAGTTCATCTCCCCACCTCCATGCCTATGTTGAAGCCTTAACCCCATGTGTAACTGTATTCTCAGATAGAGCCTTCAGGATGTTAATTAAGGTTAGATGAGGTCGTAAAGGTGGGGCTCTAACATGATTGGACTGGTGTCCTTGTAAGAAGAGGAAGAGACACCAGAGTTCTCTCCCTGTGCCATGCAGGGACCCTGTAAGAAGCTGGCCATCTACTGGCCAGGAAGAGAGGTTTCATCAGAAACCAACTCTGATGGTACCTCTGTCTCAGACTTCCAGCCTTGAGAACTGTGAGAAGATAAAATTCTGTCATTTAAGCCACCTAGTCTGTGCTATTTTGTTCCCCCAGCACGATGACACAGAAGGAGAGAAGCGTAACTGGATTTGGGTTTTAGGAAGACAATTAGTGCTCCACGGAGGACTGTTCTGCATATTCTTGGTCGAATAGATATATTCTTTGAAGCTCAGCTCCTTTGAGAAGATTTCTTGATTCCTTAAGCTTCATTTTGATGCCCTTGAATGTGTTCCCTCAGTATTATGTGCATACATCTATCATAATGATGTATCATAATTCTTGTCTTTGTCTCTCCCACCAGACTGTAAACTCCTTTAGATCACAGACCACATCTTTCCCTGTATTCCCAGCATCTAGTATGGTACTTGGCACTTGGTACTTCTCAATAAATACCTGTAGAATTAAGTAATTAATATAGAAGAACCTGACGCAAAGAAACCAGTTCTAAGATTACTGATACAATAGTCAATTAGCAGGGGCGTCGGGGTGGCTCAGTCACTTAGGTGTCCGAGTTCAGCTCAGGTCATGATCTCATTGTTCATGAGTTCAAGCCCCACAACAGGCTCTGTGCTAACAGCTGAGAGCCTGGATCCTGCTTCGAATCTGTGTCTCCCTCTCCTTCTGTCCCACCCCTGCTTGTGCTCTGTCTCTGTCTCTTGAAAATGAATAAATATTTTTAAAAAATAGTCCATTAGCAGCACATGCAACTGTAACTCACATCATCTTAATTGCTTGGTAAAAGATGATAAAAATTGACAATAGTTTGTCTTTAATTTTTATTTTTAGTATCTTCCAAAAATGAAATTAAAAAGTACTGAGCAATAAGTTGAATTTAATGATTTTTACCTCACTAAAAATTAGGCTCCATCCCACCCATTAAATCTTGGTTTATATACACAGTATCTAACATCCTCCAGAAAAAAGAAAATGATGACTATTTATAATCACCTCATTTGTTTGGAAGCATCACCAAAAATCTATACAGCGAATTAATGTAATCAGCAAACTCAAATGCATTATTCTGGAATCTATGTAGAATTCCCGATAAGTCTTTCAGAGTTTGCCAGGATATCCCATGATTAAAGACATTAGGCCCAAACAAATCTTCTATCTTTGCTTTGATAGTACAGGCGCTGTTACAGGAATGGAACTTATCCATTAACCAAATAAAATGTTCCTATAAATCACTGTATTAACTGCGGAGTTAAAGTCTGTGCCGATGCCATTTAAGCAAATAAGGGATGTTGCCAAAAAGAGATGGGCTCAGTTGACTTGACTGTGCTAATGTGTTCAATTTCACCCTTTAGTCAACGTGGTTCTAGGAGACAGACTCATCCTCTGGTCTGTTAATTCTGACCTATTAAGGTAGTCATTTCTATTTGATTTTTCCAGTTATTACAATGTTCTTAGAGCACTGTGTATGGTTTGGGGATTTATTGGATGGCAAGTGTGTGAAGCCATTTTCCCCCATTTCCCTCTGATTCTGTTGTTCCTATATACCCTTGGGCTCTTGCAGAGACTGAGAAGAGCCAAAACTTAATAGAATTTTTAAATCCTCAATTATAATTCTAATCAAGGTTCTCTAATTGCTCAAGCTGACCTACCAAAAGTAGAAAATTTTTACAAACATGTGTTTAAAAAAGAATAAATGGGATCATTTAATTTCTTTTAACGTCTTTATTTTTGAGAGGCAGAGATGGAGCATGAGTGGGAAGAGGGTAGAGAGAGGGAGGGAAACTCAAAATGTGAAGCAGGCTCCAGTCTCTGAGCTGTCAGCACAGAGCCTGACATGGGGCTCAAACTCACGAACCATGAGATATGACCTGAGCCAATGCTGGACGCTTGACCAGCTGAGCCACCCAAGTGGCCCCAATAAATGGACTTATTTAGAAAATAATAATATCTAATGAAAATCAGATGACCTTCTTGAAATATTGGCCTACCTTTTGGAGATACTTTTCTTTCTCCTCAGATGCTTGAGTCTTCAGGGTTTCAGCAGTGACGTCTGGGCTTTCTAGAGGAAACAAAGTCAAATTCAATCTGAAATAACTTTATCCTGATTTTATAAAACTGGATAAATGTTAAAAGGTAAGAGTGGGAAGGGAGACACAAATATGTACGGTCTTGACACTTTATAAACCAGATTCATAAATAATCAGAGACTGAATTAACCGGCTATGGCTGAAGGGAACCTCTAATCTCTTTAGAAGATGAGTAAGACAGGAGTCCAGAGATAGGAGAAGGTCTCTGAAGAGAACATATCTGCCGTCAGAGTTTCCAATTTCTATATTCCTATTCAACGTGGTAGGGGAATTTAGACATTCTCCTCTGGGTAAATGGGCTGGTCTCTGAGACAGGGCTTTGGTATGCTTTCAGAAAGTTATGCCAAAGTGTAAAGTTGTCTCCTTATACCTACTACCTGATTTCTGGATCAGGATGTTGGGAATCAGGATGTTGAAAGGCATAAAACTTGGTACTTACTGTTTTTCTCAGTGAAACAAGGCTGGAGGTAAGTTTTCTCTAAAAAATACAAGGGGGAAGTAAAGCAATTATTGGAAAGACCACCGCACGAAAGGTATTTAGGCTCTCTAGACCTATAAAAATTGCATGATAGCAGTTTCCATATCTGCTTACTATAACATCTTACACGTCTGGGAACTTGGTTCCCAATACTGATTCTGCTTTCAACTTTCTCATAGGCTTTCATGTGTGAACCTGATTATGTAAACACCCCGTTCAGTCAACATGTGAACGTTTCCCCAGATTATTCAATACTGTTTAGCCAAAAAGCTGCCATAACCCAAGAGATACTTTCAGATGTGCTTTTAGATGTAACAAATATACCAAAGCAGTGATGCTTTTGGGGTGGAAGGATTGCTGAGAAGTTTGAAAAGCTGTGCATATAGGATTTTAAACATGTGAAATGAAAGATTATTTTATTTTATTTTTTTACATTTATTTATTTTTGAGAGACAGAGACAGAGCACAAGTTGGGGAGGGTCAGAGAGAGGGAAACACAGAATCTGAAGCAGGCTCCAGGCTCTGAGCTGTCAGCACAGAGCCCGACGTGGGGCTTGAACTCACAAGCTATGAGATGATGACCTGAGCTGAAGTCAGATGCTTAACTGACTGAGCCACCCAGGGCCCTGAAAGATTCTTATTTTAGAATTCAAGGGGCGACTGGGTGGCTTAGTCGGTTAAGCGTCCGACTTTCGCTCAGGTCATGATCTCACGGTTCATGGGTTCAAGCCCCGCGTCGGGCTCTGTGCTGACTGCCAGCTCAGAGCCTGGAGCCTGTTTCAGTCTGTGACTCCCTCTCTCTCTGACTCTCCCTTGCTTACGCTGTCTCTCTCTCTCTCTCCTAGAAATAAAAAAAAAAAAAAAAAAATTCAGTTCTGCAGTTACTTCCGGGAGGGGCTCTGGAATCCTCCAGGTTGGTGATGATGACAGGAGGCGGCCACTTACCAGACACACCACAGCCCCGGGAGGCCTTGGCCACTGGCAGACGCTGACTGCTACCTCTGGACAGCACCAGCTGAGATTCGTTGGTAGGATACATCGACGACGTGATCCAGAACTGCTTGGCCAAGTTGGAATCCTGTTCCGAAGATCCCGTGAACACAAGTAATCCCTGCGGGCAAATTTCAACCGACTCCTTTAGGCAGGGGTGACCTCCGTCAGGCTTCGTTTCCATGGCAACACAGGACGCTTCTCCAAGCTCCCTCTGCTGGCCTCTCACCCTGCCCTGCAGAGACCACGCCAGAAGCCCTTAAGTTCCCTGGGTAGATGCTGCGGTGCGGTGGGCACGTGGGCTATCTTGAAAGCCCACGTCTGGAGGGCCACAAGCTTTCGGATGGGTCTAAGCCTTGGGAGTTCAGATAGCAGAGTCAAAACATCAAGTTGGGGGCGTTTCTTGTCCTGTTGGGAGTCAGTGGGACAACACTTCAACGTTGTACATCCTCAGTCAGCTTCGGACCCACTCCCACCCAGCTCCCTATCCCCCAAATAGATCTATATTCTAAATAAAGCTTTCACTTTCTTAGCTCAACCACCCCAACCCACCCCTCCTTCCACACCGGATTGCCACAGCTCAGCACGCCCTATGTGGATTATTGGCTGAAGAATCTAACAGGGAGGCTAACACCCTAGCCTAGGGGAGCCCAGAGGTCCGAGTGGGCTGATAAGTACCTGTGTGTAAAATTTTTGTTAAATAGTCCCCTCCCCCCATCCTTTAAGGAAAATCTAATGGAAGAAGCTGGATTGAGATCCTAAGTGGAGTCCAGCTAAAAGCCCCATGTCCTGCAAGAGTCTTAAATGATTACTTAAAACAAGGGGCTATAGCTGATGTGTGGACTTGGTCCCTTCCTGAAAAATAACTTGTGAAAAACGTTCATGTATTCTCATAAAAAAAAAAATTATTTCTAAGTGTGAGTGAATCACTTTCCTGGGAGGTTTCCTTAATCTAGGAACAATCTCACGATTTTGGCCAACAGCAGAGTCGTCATTACCATGGCAGGAATTGAGATGGATGGCCCACCGCCAACCTCAGGCAAGGAAATAGGACACATGGTAATAACCACAACTTACGAGCTGATGGCACTTTTTAATCTTTCAAAAATGTTCATACAGTCTCACGGAAAGATAGCTCAAAAGCTGATCATCACAAGCCTATACAATAACAATAGATCAGCTAAGGAAAAATTATATTCCCCAATATATCTAAAATTTTGGGGGGGTTAAGCACCTCAAGGAAATTGAACAATTATAAAAATATATATGTATGTATATATATATATATGCTGAGATTATACATTGTATATTTAGCAGCTAACTTTACTGATTTCTCTCTTGGCTAAGCTATTAATAGCCAATGGGGCATTTTCGCTATTCCACCCCCCACCCCCTCCAAACACACTGAGGTGCACAGGCAGCTCATTTGGATGATTGCCAAATCTTTTTACCTGGCCGTGTGGTTAGTGATTGGTACTATTAGCAATCAGCTAACTACACTGCCTAGTAACTAGACTCACAGAGCGGGGGAAAAGTTTACTTCCGTCATACACAGCAGTGCCAAGCTGGTTCCCCAGACGTTGTGATAGGCAAATCATGGGTTCAGCTGTAACTCCCTTTAGTTGGTGGGTTGGTGAAAACGACCTTACTACTGAAAACAAAAGGCACAACGGATCACATCGTACAGCTTTAAGCGTTAGGTAGCCGGCTCCTCTGCTCCCCTGAGTCTAGAAGCCATTACAGCTTACGTGAAAGCCATTCAACTGTCCAGAGGCCGCTCTCCTGGCAGGAGACCGCCCGCTCTCGCCGTGACCCCCGGGGCGGCTCCCAGTTTAACCGCACGCAGCGGCAGCCGCGCCCCTGGGTGCCGGCGTCTCCCCGCAAGCCCACCACGTGCTCCGCGAGCCGCCCGCGCCCCGCAAACGCTGACGCAGCAACTCTCGAAGCGCCGCTTTCTCCCAACGCTCGCGGGCGCCGGCCGTTCGCCGCGGAGGGTGGCCGGCGTCCTCCGGCCCGCGGGGCGGCGGGTGATGCTGTGCCTTGTTTTGATGGCAGTGGAGTTAGTGATTGTAAGCAGCAGAGTACAATCAGCTAATTACACTGCCTACAAACCGAGCACCGGGCGCCCGCGGGCTCAGCTCCCGGGAAGGGCGGCGGCGCCCACGCCGTGGCCCCGAGCGGGGTCCGGGCCTCGTTTTCCCCTCCGGCGACGCCCGACGGTGCCCGGGCGCCGGGACCAGGGCGCGGGGGCCCGGACTCCCCGGGGGCCCTCGCCCGGCCCCTGCCCGGCCCCCCGCGCACACTTGGCGTGGCAAGGCCAGCGGGCAGCGCTCCGAGGGGACCTGCACCTGAGGGCCGCGTCCCCCGCCTCCCGCGCCAGCCCCAGGTGGCTTCATCCCGGCCGCTGCCAGGGCCCCGCGCCCGTCCGCCGAGCCTCCCGGGGCCCTTCTCCTCAGGTCCCCCTCCCCGGTCCTTCCCTGCACGCTTTCTCGGGCCGGCTCCCACCTCCCTCACTCCCGGGTCCGGTGCGCCCCAGAAAACGTCTCTTCAGGCCCCAGACCCTAGAACCGGCGCTCTCAATCAACCCCGTGCGCCCCGCAGCTCCGAGTGGCCGAGTGACCGTGGCCGTGGCGGGCCAACCGCCCTTGGAACCCCGAGGCGGAGGGGGCGGGGCGCGCGCGCTGTGGGGTGGGGTGGGGGAGGGGCAGAAGCGGCGAGAAGGGGCCGAGGGCGGGTCCCTGCAGGGGAAGAGGCCCTGGAGACCCAGGCACAGATTCCTGAGAAGTTTCTCTTCCTGATAGGGCGGGAGGGACAAAGGGTTCCTTCTCCCCTGCCCCTCCCCAAGAGCCCCACACGCCCACCCAGTTTTCATGCCCATCTCCGTCAGGGAAAACGACTTGGCCTGGTACCAAATTGTAGGCTCTTATTTTCCAGAGGGAGATAGGCCTAGGTGGCCTCTGGCATGCGGGACGACTGCCGTTGAGAGTCCGGGTCCGCACCCTTGCCTTCCCCTCGGGTTCGTCTCACAGCCTTGGAGGGTCATGCAGTGAGGTGGAGGGTTGGATCTTCTAGTCAAACAGCGAGTCAGCCAGCTCGTGAGTTAGATCAAAGCTTGGTCCTCACATATTTATTTAATTACCTGGTATATAGTCAGCACCTAAGGTCGTCTGTTCTACCCTCTGTATGTATAATCTAGGTGATAACACAAAGTGAACACATTATCACTCAAGGCATATATAATACATTACTAAACTGGGCAGAAATCGAAGAGGGTAAGGTGGGCATCAGTGAGAACTGTAATTGTCAGGGAAGGTTCATGGAGGAGCTGAGGCTTGAGTAGTTCTCCTGAGCAAGACTCAATTTGGATAGTCAAGGAGAGACAATGTCTTGTGACCGCTTACATTTTCTTATTCTCACAATTCCACGTGATGTAGATGTATTTATGTGTGTATTTGGGATAGACTGGACAGAGGACAGTTACAGAGGATTTCTGGGAGACCTCCAGGAATACTTCTTGTCTTTAGTTACTCCATGCCATCTTTTCCTTGAGTGAATGAGTCAGGAAAGGATAAACTCAGTTGGAAATAGCCACCCCCCACCCCAGTATGGTTTTCATGCATCTGGTATTGAACACTCATTGTTGACCCCAAAAGCTTGGTTATAAGTTATTTTCCACAGAGGAAAACTTCCCAGCTACAGACTGATTCCCTAAACCCAGCAAATGGTTTCATAGATGCCTCTAATAGCATGAATTAGGAGCAGGTAATCTGGATCATTCCAAACAAATTCCAGACTCACACTATTAAACCACCAGAAGTTCCCAATGATGAGTTTTGAGTGTATATAGCATTATCTTTCAGTATGAATGCACATTTTTTGCCACATGCATCATTTGTTCTGACAGCAGCAAAGTGAAGAGTAAGAAACCAACTTTACTGTATAAAATGTATGGTACAGAAACATTAACTGTGAAGACCAACTTAACATGTTAAATTGCAAAAAACAGGTCACTTATAACTAACAATAATTTGCATTCATCTTATGGCTAGGAGAGGCACTGTGTTGTAGAACACATTATACAAATCCCTCACACTTCTTCAACACATACAGTAAACCAAGCCATACTGGGCCATATGCTGGAATCAGAGCTTATTAGGGGTAACTTTCTAGGGCTAATTGTAGAGGCAATTTTGTTTTTTATAGTTAAATATTCATACATAAATAAATACAGGAGTGAAATAGCTTTCATTCCATTGACAACATGCAGACTTACAAGCTTTGGTTAGGACATAATTATAAAAGCAGTTCTGTTTTTTTCAAATTGTGAGTCACTTTACCCAATACAATATTAAATACCTCTTCCTGATTGACGTTTTAGGATCATTAGTGACATCTTACATGTCTTACCTGAGCTGGATTGCCGCTGTCCAAAGCACTGGTTGCAGTAGAGGCCTTGAAACTTTTATTTTTAAAGCTTTTCTTCAAAGATGATTAAAAAAAAAAAATAAAGACAACATATGTAGAGGTCATCAAAATGCATTGCCTCCAGAAATAGATTTTCTTTTAAATGCAGTTCATTTTGCAGGTAGTGCAACCAAAAAAAGTAAAATAACATGAAAAATGTCTTTTTTTTTTTTTTTTTTTTTAAGAATGCTTGTTCTTAGGGTTGCTGTTGACTTGGCCCATAGTTACCAGAGAAACTCCAAGGATCTCATTCCCTTTACGGGTCATGTCTAGACATGCCTGGGGACCAGGGAGGCCCATGATTTAATCTAAGTAAGAATGCTTGTGGTGTTGTAAAATACCAAACAGAAGATTGCATTTGTTTTAGACAAAACCAGGAAGGTACCTTTCAGGGAGGGTGTTTACTGTTTCCTTGAATTTCTGGGCTTTTGGTGATTAGGGTGACGGGGAAGCAGCGCTAAGGGGAGGCGGTGAGACTTGGTGACCAGAAGCTAACCGAGAAGAGTATAGGAAACATATGGCTTCTGCTTTAGCTTTGGAGAATTTGCACTGGTTAAATTGACTGCTCCTAGATGAAAGACTAGACTGATGGGAACTGGGAATTACAGAAGATGGGGACAAATTTACTTTCTTCTTTTAACACACGCAGACACACCAACTGTATGTATGCTATCTTCCATAGGTTTTGAAGGATGCCGTTAGAGAGGACGAAGTAAAGGATCAGACTGATTAGAAATTATTGGACTTTAGCACTTTTTTTTTAGAAAGTTATTTTTTATTTTACTTATTTTTTTCCAAATGCTTATTTGTTTATTTGCAAGCAGAGGAGGGGCAGAGAGAGGAAGACAGGATCTGAAGCAGGCTCTGTGCTGACAGCAGAGAGCCCAATGCGGGGCTCCAACTCACAAACCGCAAGATCAGATGCTTAACTGACTGAGCCACCCAGGTGCCCCAGGAGCTTTTTTTTTTTTTTTTTTTTTTTTGAGAGAGAGAGAGAGAGAAAGACAGCACAAGTGCAAGCAGTGGAGGGACAGAGAAACAGGGAGAGAGAATCTTAAGCAGGCTCTGTGCCCAGCCCAGTGCAGAGCCCAACTCCTGGCTCAATCTCACAAACCATGAGATCATGACCTGAGCCAAAATCAAGAGTCAGTTGCTTAACTGACTAAGCCACCTAGGTGCCCCTTAGCAGCTTCTTTTTAAACCCATGCTTTTTTATTGTTTATTTTTGAGAGAGAGAGAGAGCATGAGCAGGGTAGGGGCAGAGAGATGGGGGACGGAAGATTCGAAGCAGGCTCTGTGCTAAGAGCAGTGAGGCCAATGTGGGACTGGAAGTCTCCAACCATGAGATCATGACCTGAGCCAAAGTCAGACGCTTAACTGACTGGGCCACCCAGGCGCCCCTAAACCCATTTTCTAAATGCATATTTTCCCTTAGGAAATATAAAAACATGTTTTGATTTATATAGAGAGCAATAAATGTCACATGACCTTATTAACATTCATGACACTATGTTTAGGAACTAGGGTACATGTTGATGCAAGACCAGTCAACCTAGTGCCTTTGAGGAACTAAAAATTAATGAATCTGTTTAATTATGAGAGATTTTCTTTCTGGCTAAAATGAGCTGTCAGGACTTTTTATAATTTCATACTTCTGATTCTATTTCATTATGCTCTCATTAGTAAGAGTGCCCCAGATTCATTAGCTTCTTATTTATATTTATTGATTAATCAATACTGTTGCTTTCAATATGAAAATGTTCAATTAGTTTATCTTTTAGTAAATCAGAAACAATCTAAAAAATAGACTTTATAATTAAAATTGCTTGAGGTCTTTGTTAAGGCCTTAACAGTAGGAACAAACATACAAATATGAAAATTTATCATCTTGAGAGACAATTTGTAACACAGCTAATTAAGAAAGAGTTTAGTAGTTATATTAATAGTAATATATACAATATACTATTTACATATTATTTATATATTTATATTCTATATGATTATATAAGTACCAAATGGTTAGTTAATAGATACTTCAAGACTTCTGAATACTAATGTGAGCTTCATTATTATTTTAAAATTAACTTTAATTTTTAATGTTTAATTAAAAATAGATAATTATCTTAACACACAACTGAAATCCTATAGTATTTGTATTTCCCTGTCTGACTTATTTCACTTAGCATAATGCCTGCTAGGTCCATCCATATTGCCACAAGTGGCACGATTTCATTCTTTTTTATGGCTGAGTAATATCCCATGATATATGCATATATGCACCACATCTTTTTCATTCAGTCATCTGTTAATGAACACTTGGGTTCTTTCATATCTCGGCTGTTGTAAATAATGCTGCCATAAACATAGGGGTGCACATATCTCTTCAAATCAGTGTTCATGTTTTCTTCAAATAAATACCCAGAATTGGAATTACTGAATCATAGGGTTTTTTTTTTGAGCAATCTTCATGTTGTGTTTTATAGTGGCTGCACAATTTACAGAAGCGTCATTGTTGTCAGTATTTAGGAAAAAAGAAAAGGCAAATCGCCAAAGGGTGGGGGGACACAGAAAAGGCTATATGGAAAATAAGGGATCAAAGTGGGTCTAGAAGGAAAAGTAGGACTCAGATAAAGGGAGTAGAGGTGGATGCTCTTGGTGGCAGGAACAACTTGTGAAGGAAACATACAAGCAAATGCATGGAGACCGTAACACACATGGTCAGTTGGGAGAGCAAGGAGTGTGTCCCCACTTGGGGAAATAAGATTAGAGAGGTAGGTAAGTAGGAAATGGATTGTGGAGGACTTTAGGTGTCAGGCCAGAGAGTTTTAATATCATTCTTCTGGGGGGGGGGGGCGGCTATGACTTCTATGATGTGTTGTTCTATCGAGATTAATAAAATGGCATAGATTAGAAGAAGGAGAGACTGAGGAGACTCAAAGTCCATTTAGGCAATTATTTTAATGGCCTTGGCATGAAGTGATGTAGAAGATATGGTATGAACGGGAGAGGCTTTGGGAAGGAAACTGCACAGGACCTGGTGACTAGTTAAAGTGGAGAGAGATCAAGATGAACCTCCGATTTCCAATGACAAACCAAGATGTGGGGAGGCAAAACTAGTCAGAGGCTAATTAAGATGCATTTATGGTCAGGCATGTTTAGGCAATGAAAGGACATT